AACTGGAGTTGCTCGCCACTCTTGGTGATGGGCACCAAGTTACCGGCGAACTCGATGTACTGTGGCTTACCCTCGAGCACCTCCACGTCGCGACTCTTCGCCACTTCGGTGAAGTGCTCTTGGTGCTCAAGAGTCTTGTCCTCTTTGTCGTCAGTCATGCAAAAGACGCGCAATCGCGCCTCTAGAGGGTCCACGCGTTTTGCAAACACGACAAACTTTGCCATGAAGGGCACATGAATGGCTTCCCTACAGAAAAAAATWAGAWTTTAATTAKATTTTTGGGGATTTTTCTTGCCTGTAGAGTTCGGTTGCCATTTTAGTCGCATCTCCCACATTTCGGCAGTCCATTAGCCAAAACCGCGCCGACACTGTTGTGGTAAACGAGACGCAATCGTTGACGAAAGTCAGGGGCGTGGACCCGGTCACGTCCTCCCATTGCGCCCTCGTGGTCCCGCCTTGAAAGCAAAAATCGATTTTAATTGGACGGTTAAAGTGAGTACAGGTCGCGCCAAAACCGTCTCACCAATAAAGTGGCGGCTTTGCTCGTTCGCCCCTTCTTGACATTCACTAGAAGCATGCAACGCCCGACGCTCCTCCCAAGTAAAAATAGCAAAAAGCGTGTCACATTCAGGCACTTGATGGTTTATGACCATTTTTTTGGTAAAGTGGAAGCAAATGCAGTGGTTTGAAGCGGCAAAAAGCAAAGCATTCATACGAACGGTTTCAGAAAAGACCAGTCGCGTGGCAACTAACTTCCGGTTCAAATAAAACTTATCGGAGAGTAGTGTTTTGAGGTTTTTTACGACTGATCTGACGCTTTATGTTAGGGTTTTTGTCATAAAATATAATAGAAAAATTGTCGGTTTGAAAATAATAAAAGAAAATCAAATGAAATGCAGCAAATCTAGATAAGGTGAAAATTGCGATTCGTGTTTTAGTGAAATTTTCATAACAAAAATCAATGAAAAAAATTTTTAACGACTAAAAGGCAAAAGAAACAATTCGTAAGTCTTTAAATTTCATAAAAAGACGTGGATGCGCACGATTTCCCAACTCAAATTGGTCAAAAAAGAAAATTCGTTGCCAAATCGTACACGTCCCTCGTTCACATTCCTATAAAATTAATGTTTCGATTGATGAAACAGAAACGAAATAAACTGTTTAAAAAAATATATAGATATAGATATACATTCTAAAAGGGGGGCAGCCCACAATATATGTAGTTAGTTACCTTTGAGAGATCTTTTCCGAAACACCCCTGGACACGCGCGTGAAATATCAATAATTAGCGGATTAGTTTGGGTGTTTGAATCACAACATGTGACGTCATCATGACGAAATACACGATAAATTAGCAACGCGATTCTTAGGATGCTGGAAAACTCAGTTGTGACGACGTCACAATGACGTCAGCTGGAAAATTACGAGGCTGGCAAACTTTTCAACGTTGTTGCGATTCGTGTGGACCGATTTGCCTCCCACAAGCCCACCTTGACCTAATTTGTACATTGATAACGGCCCAAGGAACACAATCATACCAATCTGCATCTGTCGATTGMCAGAAACATCTAAGTTCCTTACTCATATTTGAGCACTTTTTCTTTCCAAACAACAAATTTTTCACTAAAACATTCTTTTTGTAAAAGATTTCAAATAAAGTTTAGATTAGAATCAGAAAATTCAGTTGCGATGTTATCATTTCCTCTATAGGTTGAAAATGGGTGTGATTAGTTGGTTTTTGTTCTTTTTTATATAAAAGTGTGTTCCTTGGAACAAGCCCACTTGGTACAGATGACTTTACTTCTAAGCATCTTTATAATACATGCTTGATAAGACTAATCTAATGAAATACAGGACCTAAGTCTATAAAATTGAGTCTACTTACAGCTACCTACGTAAACATAAGCTTGCCAACCCCTTAACAACAAAACCAATTTACAAAAATACATAGGGCACAACACAACAATGAAACATCGTAATATATGAGTGGAAAACAAAACCGAAAAATGGCTCTGTTTCAAGAGCCGTTTTCCAAAACTCAAAACTAAACGTTAAAGCCAGCTTTTGGAGCTTAGCTTTGGCAGCAAATTTCACGTCAATTAGTCAATGAAAAAAGTGTGAGTTTTTTACCTGTTATTGAGCAGAGTAATCGCAAAGTGGGCGCATTTCCTGAATACTGATTGATCATCCCTTGCGAGTGCGCTCTCGGGGCCGGCATGCTCAACGTGATAGCTTTGTGGAACTTTCTTCGTCTTGGTTCGACTGTGACCACCGGTGAGACGGCAACTCCGTGCCCCAGTAACTTGGCCGTCAGTTCTGGATCTATCGGTTGGGCCTAGGAACGAACAATCGTGGCATAATCTCTCCTCGGAGCTAAGGCACAGCTCAAGCTCACTTACCTTGAAGGGAGGATCAAGGATGGGTAATGCGACAAAGCAAGGTTCGACAAAAACATAACACAAACAATATCAGAAAGTGCAAACAATGAAAAGAATGAAGGAGTGACTTAAGCGGTTGAGCTGAGAGCCCAATAACGAACCGTGCTTTGTAAAGGAGAATTTTTGAACACGGCCGTGCCCAAAAATTCGGTTTGATTCCAATGAAAAAGTTAGTTTTGGTTAGTTTAACTCAACTTTATTGGGCACTCACACTGTTACAACTTTTGTGAATGAAACGTTGACAATATGAGAGAAAACATACATGACATGACTTAGATTAAGCACGAAATTAAGAGTTAAGAAAGCAAACAAGAGATGCGGGTGAGGATGCTTTACAACACTGTAGGGACATTCGCAAACACTTTTTTTGATCAACCAAATACGAATGACCCCGCRCTAATGACACTTAAGCTAAGTAKATACATRTTCAGGTGCATCGTTAACAACTAATGTGACGCGCCATTAAAAAAATGTTTRGCTAATTGAGCCACATTACATTTTTTTGAACAGCGCCAGATGGGCCGCTCCGAAGCTGGGACATTTTCGCCCAACTCCCAAGAAATTGCAACAATCGACAATTAGTGGGAGTTCTTGACTTATCATAGAAATTTTCGAAATTTTTTTAAAATTTSAAAATTTTGCCTCAGACATTAAAAACGAAACCTCAACAAAAAATGACTGACACCTGGCAGTGACAAAAGGCACATCTTTAAACTTGTTATCAAAATTTTGATTCAA